ACGGCACATAATGTTGATGTTGATGCCAAGTAGGTTAAGAGTTAATAGATAACTCGCTTACACAAAACGATTCTTTGGAAGTAAGGTTCATGAGGTTAACAGTCTCTCATCAGAAAAGAGATAAAACTAAAAAATATTTGCCAGTTATTTCTACTTTGATGTACATTTTCTCGTTGGTTGATCTAAAAAGTAATTGACTTTTACTTTCTTAAAGGACCTGTATTGCTCAAAACGAACTCTTGTGAGGTTTTAGTCGTGAACAGAACAGAAGATGTGGAGTTCTTAAACCGTGTGTGTGAGATGGCGGACCCTGTGGTGCGGTTAATGATTGTAAAGAGAGACTGGCTTTGAGCTTGTCCGCGTCAGGCTCTGGTTTGATCCACTGGTTCAATACTAAAGACGACCAACACAAAGGTCAGAGGTCACAGGTCAAAGTGACACAGGAAGCACTTTGAAGTTTTATTTGGGGAAGGTTTTCTGTTTCTTTTGTTTGATTCTAGAGTTGACTTTGGTCACAGAAACTGGTCTGAGGCACTCACTGCATCACAAAACTGACCAACCAGGTTACCCATATTTTATTGTATTATTACTTGTAATATTTTAAAGTTTAAATTTGATCTATTTATGTATTTATTTTAGTAGTCAGAAGTATTTTTACTATTTGAGCAATATATTTTAAAATGTACCAATAGTCTTCATAAAGTTTTGAGTGCTCTTCCAACTGTGAGTAAGTCTATAACTGACAAAAGCCTTACATTTACAAAAAAAAAAAAATGTTTTTTCTTTCTTTTGGATATGATTTTGTTTTTCAAATGTTTTGGGTGTATCCTTTGAAAATACTAGATGTTGATCAAATTACACAATTTCAAAATTAAAAATCATGTGTCACAGCAGACAGTTACCAGTTAGAAGTACTCGCGTAGTAGTTTCTCTAAACACTGTATACTCTAGGGCCCGGTCAAGCAGAAGTAAACAGCAAGGCCAAAAATTCAAGTTAATGCATCTGAAATATAAAAATGTATTGAACAGATACATATGTACTCTAGTTTATGAAACTGTTGACCTTTTTTCTGTTCCATTTTTGGTTCTAAAGTTCCATACGTTTTAAACAGACCATGTATGAAACATGGAACAAAAATTATTTCCCAAATTTCAAAGACCTGCAAATCATGTAAATAAATGGATGTATTTCATCATATCTTGTGTTATTCCATCTTTGAACTGTTGATGAAGGTACATGATTTTTCAAAAAAAATGTATTTAAAATGATAAAAAATTTGCTTGGAAGGACTGACATATTTTATAGAAATAGTTTCCTTTCATTTTGAAGTAATATTAAAGTATTCAGAAGAAAAAAGCGACAAATTATGTAAAATCATGCACCTTCTACTTGTTTGCACAATTTTCCCTCCGTTACTTTTCCCTCCGTTACCATGACCTTTCTTAATAAAAAATCTCATTAGTCAAAAAGTAAGAGGTTTTTCAACCTAATCTTGTACCATATGGTAGAAAACTATATGAAGCAAATATTCAAACCAGTTTGTTAAGGATATGTAAGTGAGAACCAAGAGTTATCACTGTTTGGATTTATTGCCCAAAAAGTGCTGCATATTTCATTCCCTCCGTTACCGACATGAGTTTTTACATTTTTTGTCAACAACTTGAAAGAATATCACAGGTTTAACTTGACCCTGTTGGAGTGTAACTCTTTCCTACATTCTGATACTTTACTTATTTCAATAGTCCCTCTAGTTTCTGAATGAGAGACATTTGAATGTCAAAAAATCTGCCCCTGTTTCCCTCCGTTACCACTTGACCGGACCCTTAGTAATTTCTTGGACCACTACTTTGTACTTATTTGTACTGTTTGTTATGGTACAGTTTTTGACTACTCTACCCACATCTACTTACTTGGCAGCACTCACAATATTGAATTAGCAAGGAAAATATTCTTACATTTTGTCAAATGGACCAGTTTCAAAACATAGGTAGGATAAATATATATGGGTTATAGGTTAAATAAATCAAACACTGATGGCTTGATTACAGAATTGCTACTGTGTCTGAGCTAAAATATCAACAATACCGGTATATCGTGACACTAAGTTTGGTTTGGTGATACACTTATTGTTATTGTGGGCTGCTGTACCGATATATCACCAAGAGCATTTTTCTCTACTTTACTAACTACTTTTACTACATTATTTTGTGACAATGCTACAGTTTTAATGTTTGTTTAGAGAAAGGAAACTTATATCGATTATCACATGTATCTCCATATCCTGATAATACCGTATCGTGTCTGTTGGAAAAGTAAAGAGAGTATTACCTTCTCTCTGTCCTTGCTGAGTTAGTCCTCGTTAAGTCCTGGTCTGGTCCCTGGGTTTTGTTCTCTGATACAAATTCCTGACATAACTGTGAGGAGCACCACAGATCTGTTTTCTCTACACAATCTGCTCACTGCGCTGACTCTGCACCAACACAACCAGTGTCACAACAGAACCAATAGGATTATATAACACACTTTATATTTTGCTTTGGCTCAAAATGTAGGATAAGTTACAGGTCAGATCTGTGCAGAGGCGACCATACTCATAGTAAAACCTGCGTAAAGGGCCCATATTACACTATTTTCTGATATTATAATGTTGTCTCCTCATCAAAAACATATCTGGAGTTGTGTTTTGTTTGCATATTTAGGCTGAGTTCTTCTCTCAAACAGAAAACACGCTGATCCACCTTGCAGTAGTACAAGTGCTCAACTGCGTTTTTAAACTCCATACACCTTCGTTACAATCATTTGGATGATATTTTGTTTCATTCACACATGTTTGAGTAATCCTTTAATATCAGTCTGTCTACACCTCCAAAGCTCGAAATGCTCCGCTCCACCTTGTGATGTCATGAAGTTAGGTTAGGTTAGGTTAGGTCGCTTTATTCGTACCCATAGGTAAATTTGCTTTGCAGATTTGAGAGGCAGGTTCCACATTTCACATTTCATTCATCCACAAAACACACATAAAATCACAATTACAAAATAAAGTGTTACAGTGCTCCAGTGCAGAATGGTTTGTTCCAGAAACAACCAATTAAATTCATCCATCATGCTTGGCTAAAATCACAATAAATATTAAATATGTTAAAAACACACAATCTTAGATAAATAGATTCCAATTTATTCATAAGTACGACAGCAGCTGGAACGAAGCTCCTTTTAAAATGATTTGTTCTAGATCTTGGAACTAAAAGCCTCTGACCAGAGGGAAGCAGCTGAAACTCTGAGTTTAGTGGATGTTTCACGTCTTTTAAAATACTCTGGAACATCCTCTGTAACTATCTCAAGTCCAGAGAGTCCAGGCGGCTCTGAGGATGAACAATCACCTCACTCGCCCATTTAACCAACTGATTCAGGGAGTTCATGTTTTTAGCAGAGACGCTCCCAAACCACGAGACCAATGAAAACGTTAAAACTGATTCCATAAATGTTTTATAAAACAGCGTCATCATGGTTCTCTCTACACGGTAAAAGGACAACTTTCTCAGACAGTGAAGGCGCTGGTGCCTCTTTTACACACAACAGAACAATTATCGTCAAAACTCAATTTTGAATCAATGAGTGATCCAAGATATTTATATGAGTCACACACTCAACTGACTGCCCCTTTATCTCTGTGACATCACACTGAGGCGCTTGATTTCGAAAGTCAATAATCATATCCTTCGTTTTGGATACATTTAGGTGTAGATTTGACTCTTCACACCATTTTACAAAGTCCTCAACAATTGGAAGTGGTAGTTTTCATGTTAACATCTACATTTTACCTTTTGTTCAGTAGAGATTGGCAATTTCAGGGCTGAGTGTATGGAGTTTAAAACACAGTGGAGCACTTCTTTTATTACCACATGACATCACAAGTTGGAACAGAGTGTTTTCTGTTTGAGAGAAGAACTCTGTTTGAGAGAAGATATGCAGGATTTCTGTGTTAAACATGAATGAAACTAAACACAACTCCATGTATGTTTGAGATGAGGAAACAACATTATAACATAGATCAGAAAATAGAGTAATATTGGCAGAGTTGGGAGTGTTACTTTTAAAATGTATTCCCCTACAGATTACAGATTACATACCCCAAAATGTAGTTTGTAACGTAATCCATTAAATTACTTAAAGTGAGTAACGTAATCTGAATACTTTGGATTACTTGATATTGTCATGCTTTTTAAAACTACATGAATGTAGCGACCACATCCTGAAAATTCTTGTTTGTTTTCTTTAAATTGTCTGTTGAATCCAAGTCTCCATGAACAGGCTTTTGTTTTCTGTAGAGAATCAAAGACGAGGAAATCTTAAGAGGTTTTGTCTGCCAAAAGACAATAACAAGTCCAGTCTTTACTTAAACATATTAAAAATATTATTGATATGTGGCATTTGTACACTTGTATATTTTGTGGCATTTTTGTGTGGCCGTAAGACCACAATATAAAAAAAAAAATCAAAAATTAAATAAAATATATATGAAAAAAAATATATATATATGTATTATTGATAGAGAAATGATTTTTATATGAGATCACTGCTGCCTTAAAGTATGTCCACTCTACTGTTAGGTGTCATATTGTTTAGTCCTGTTTTAGTCCTGGTTTAGACCTGGTTTAGTCCTGGTTTAGACCTGGTTTAGACCTGGTTTAGTCCTGGTTTTAGACCTGATTTTAGTCCTGGTTTTAGTCCTGGTTTAGCCCAAAATGTGAAAAAATACCGCCATGTAATCCATTTATTTCAAGAAAGTAACTGTAATCCAATTACTACTCATTGAAACAGTAACTGTAACTAAATACAGCTACTCATAATTTGTACTCTGATTACGTAACGCTGGTACTTGTAATCTGTTACTCCCCAACACTGAATATAGGCCCTTTAAACATTCTTGTTTGGTTAATTCTCCATCTTGGTTCAATAATCTTGGCTCTGACGTCTTGTATGTTTTCTTGTTTTGCAGACTGACTGTGTGAACTACGTGAAGCTGCTGCACCATTACAACCGCACTCACCTGTACGCCTGCGGGACCGGAGCCTTCCACCCCACCTGCGCCTTCGTGGAGATCGGCAACAGGATGGAGGTAAAGAGTCTACTTCAAAAAACAAAATATACCACAAATACAACATACTTCATTATAATTAAAGATGCAGTGTGGAAGTTTTCTTGGGCAGGGTACACCACATGCTCATCTTCATGTATGAACTGTTCAACCTGGAATGTTTCACAGCTCAAAATGTGCTGTTCCACCTTGTGATGTCATGTAGAGGTAGTTTCAAGTTGACCACTACCTTTTTACATTTTATTCAGTAAAGACTGGCGATTCCAGGGCTGAAATTATCCAAATGATTCTAGTGAAGTTGAGCACTGTATTACAGCATGACATCACAAGGTGGAATAGAGTATTTTCAGTTTGAGAGAAGAAATCGGCCTAAATATTCAGGCTTTGTGGGTTAAACACTTGTGAATGAACTTTTCTTGGGGAAGTTATGCGACATGCTAGTTTTCATGTAGATGTACTTAATTGTTCAGCCTAGAATGCTTCACAGTAAGGCATTAAACTTATCTATCTCAGGCAGATCAGTTCCATTCTTTTATCGAAAGTTTGCTGACCTTTTCTTTTATCTGTTGGTTTTATTGATTGTAAAAGATTGTAAAAGTTTACAGCAAAATCCGTGGTGTTCAGATGGAGGATTTGGCCTCTGTGTGTTACAAAAGACTAAGGCCAAACTGAGCCAGACTAACCATGTTCTGCACTCACAGTTCGTGAAAATGCCCTCTGGGAGGCGCTATGTCACCCCACAGCAAAAGACTAACCGTTACGCCAAATCTTTTATTCTCTCTGCCATAAGGATTTTAAATGGAAAGTGAATTTGTTACTGTGTCCCTGATGCACTGTGGTTCGAACGTATGGTGTCTGTATTTCTATTTCTTTATTATTTATATTTATATATTGTGTGTGACCAGAGATGTGTGAACTGAATTGCCCTTTGGGATTAATAACGTTGTTGATTGATTGATTGATTGATTGGAGAGGGAGGGCCCGCTCACACAAGAACACATGTTATTAACCCTTCCAGACCGACGATGGTGAATATGTTTTATATCACCGCACATATTTTTCCAATCATAATAGACAGAAACTTACTTTTTTCCCTTTGAAAGATAAGAATTTCGGGTTTCCAAGCATAACTCATTATCCTACATCACACAGTGTCCAATAGGAACTTTGTTTTCCGCCAGACGCATGTGCTCCATCCATTTTGATTGGCCCAAACTTTGCCAAAGAGTGTAGTGAGTCAAGATGGTCGACTGCTCTGAGCGTCTGTGTTCGTAACAATTGAAAAAGCAGCTCTAAGTGCAGTTATTTCTCAAATAAATGGCAAATTACACATCTTGGTCTGTGTAATTGCATTTCCCTTGTTATTTTTATTTCAGAGGTTTGTTTCACTCAAACTGTACAAATAAAAATGTAATAAACACCATGGAAATGCAGGAAGCGATGTGGGTCTGTGCCCTGGATCTGACACGAGCTGTTTCCATGACTGGCACCAGGAAAGTAATGAGGCGTTTGCACTTTTTTTGTTTTGAGGCAATAAGGATATTTTTAGTTTACTTACAGACTTGATATTTTGCACTTTTGAAGCTAAGGCCCTAAATTACGCTTTTTTATGTCAAAAAAGTTGTTTATACACGTTTGCTTTGTGTTTAGTACGAAAGAGTGTGAATTTTATTTTCTTTTTTCATTTGTATTTCTGGCCTTATAGTTTTTATTACAGCCATATGACACAACAACAGCACGGAGATTGTGAAATAACAGGTTGTACTGAAAAAAAAAATATAATAACACTTCAGTAGGGGGAGTTTTAATAGCAAAATTCTGAAAAAAATCCAGGCGAGGACATATGTACTAAAATTTCCCTTAGTGTGGCAACCGAGGGGTTAACGCTCCGGGAATTGTTTAAGTGTGATAATATGTTGCTGCAACAACGCCACCCCAAATCTAGTTCGGGGAAATTAAGTAAACGTAAGGCACACAGGTAAGTATATCATAGAGGGAGAGGGAGCCAGGTTCCATCAATTACACAATCTTTATTGATTTTCTGTTGTTTTAAAAGACAGATTTAAATGCTAAAAGTAGCTACATTCATAAAAATAGGCAACCAGTAAAACACTACAGTGGGTGAACAGGTACACAATACTGAAAATGCAAAACAAAACCCCAAAACCCAAAGCAAAACTGAAACAAAGCAAACAAACACAAAACAGAGCAAAACAAAATAAAACTAAAAGCGAAACAAAATAAAACTAAAAGCAAAACAGCAGAGGTGGTGTCCTCACGCCGCTGCAGGCCCCCGCCGACACCTGAAAAGTTAAATTTTGGGATTAAACTCAGAGCCTGCAGCGTAAGGATCTGGGCCAAACATACCGTGGTTGAATGTGACAATGCGCAATCCCCAGGCTGAATCGAAGGCAACTCTACATAGAATAACTGCGTCCAGACGTGGTCCAACAATGTGGACCGGCACACGCTGCCGCCGCGGTTTACGGGACACGGCGGCGCACAGCCAAGCGCAATGGGGAGGGATTCACTCGTCTTACCCGTGGAGCTTGGTCCGAGGAGATGAAAGCGCGCCCTAGGTGCTCCGCGACTCGGAGGAGCGAGGGACTGATGCGGTGCAGAGCACCGGCCAAGCAGTGGCCAAGCAGCGGCACTGAGCGGGAGGACAGAGCGGCCACAAGGAGAGGCCCGGAAGAGCGTGTGAGCCAAAAGGGGGAACGACTGAGAAGGGAGCGCTTAAATAGCCCACCAGCGCAGCGCCACGGAACGCCAGGTAAGAGCACCTGCAGCCTAGACCCTCAAAGCCGGTCATGCCACATTCGGTTTGGAAGATTTGAAGGCATTTCTGAACAATAAAATCACTTCTAATGAAAAGGCTGAATACATTTTAAAGCAATAACATACGCCGAAAGGTGGTGACGCTACACAAGAAAAGTTACACAATGCACTTTTAAATAAATGTAATGTTTTGGTGTTTTTCAGGATCACGTGTTCCGCATCGATCCGTCTAAAGTGGAGGATGGTAAAGGGAAGAGTCCGTATGATCCCAGACACCAGGCGGCCTCTGTGCTCGTGGGTGAGGGACACTTTTAAGGATTTTTGTTGAGAAAGCCAACGTTACGTGAGAAATCAACAGTATTTTTTTCCCTTCTGGTGCTAATGTCCTCACTGTGTTTCCAGGAGATGAGCTGTACGCTGGAGTGGCCACAGACCTGATGGGACGAGACTTCACCATCTTCAGGAGTTTGGGCAAAAGACCTTCCATAAGAACAGAGCAGCACGACTCACGATGGCTCAACGGTAATGCTATAATAAGGCTTAACTACTACAACTACTACTTCTGCTATTACTACTACTGTCGCTCAATAAACAACAATTAAAAGAGGCTTCAATCCCTGTCCCACCTTGCAGAGCAGCTGATACAATACAATGCATCTAGTGAGAATACTTTTAAAACTTAATAATACATAGCGTAATACTATAATGAATGAGAACTTCACACATTAATTTCTTGAAATGAGAGCTTCAGAGAGGGTTCAGCCCAAGAACATAAACAGAGAAAAATCTCACACACCATCTTACTTACAAATTTTATTAGGACATCAGTGACGTTTCAGCACTAGGCAAATAGGGGAAGAGCTCTAAGTAGCTTCTCTGTTTACAGTCATATCTTTACCATTAGGATGTGACTGAAGAGTGACGTAATATACATCTAATTGCTGTAGACGTTTTCAGCTTGTCCAAGAAAGGGTGGAAGTAAAAGGCTGGAGACCAAATGGATGTTTTAACTCTGTCCCCCCTGGACGCCCACTAGGAACAACCCATACATATATGACTAGGGCTACCCTTAGACCATAACTGCATAAAAGAAAACAGACTTCCACAAGTGATTATAAATGATTTTTTGTAACACAGACATATTTGGTATCTCTGGAAACCTTAGACTCTGAACTCTTCGTTTATGGATGTTTAAATGTGATTCAACTCATTTATAGGTTTATAACAGCTCACTGAACATGAGAGTTTACCTGGTCAGGTGCAAAATCGAAAACAAAAAACTACATTCAGCATCTGATATCTGCATGTTCTGAGGACTATATTCATAAAAAAATAAAAAATATACTTTGTCAAAGTATTTAAACAGATTTCATATCACCAGATACAGTAGAGCCAAGTGTGCACCTGTTTTTACCTGTTGTTCACCTGTGTGCACCTAATTCATTTTTTCCATTTAACTTATTCAACTCATTTAACTTATTAAAATATATTAATATAATAATAAAACTCTTCCCTGTCAGTGGGTGTCCAGTATTTGTCACCTTGGTTACTTTCTTGTGTGCAGAGCTCTGCATAAGCGTTTGTTTCTGTAGCGATTCTGTCATACATTGCATCTTGGAAATAAAGACTGAAATATTTTAAAGGACTGGCCTGGGCAACATCCAGATTTCATGGCAGTTTTGGTTCATAATCGAGTATAAAGTCCCGGATAGTTTGTTCAGACATTGCAGGACTCCACACAGACACATCAGCGGCGTTCTCATCTTCGTAAGTTTCACTCTCTGAAAGTCCGTCACTATCGCTCTTTTCCACTTTATAATCAACTTCATCATCACTTTGAAATCTATAAAAGTCACTTTCTCTAAACTTATCCATAAAATACGCCCGCTCCTCATTATTTCTAAAACTGTGCGCCGCAGCGCCGCGATCTTTCCATTGCACGTGCTTAGTGTTGTGTTTTTTTTCCGGAAGCTACCATCGTCACTACTTCGATTAACTTCGGAAAAATCTGCGAAAACATATCCTGGAATCCTATTGGTCAGTCTAGTGTGGGTTGTAGTGGCCCCGACCTATCACAGTCTCTGTTTAAATGTGAAAAACCGAGCCGTTTCTAAAGGTCGTCAAATCACGTCTTTAGTGACACAGCGGAGGTGTCAAAACACGTCATTAAGGAAACAATGGGGGTCGTCAAATGTCGTCTTCATGGGGGAAAGAGTTAAGCAGAAGAAGTTTATTTATCATCAATAAATACAGGCCCGAGCGAGCTTGAAAAGTCAACATAGTATGATTTCAAAAGTGAACATAGTATGATCTTTGAGTGTTCAAGCCTCTTAACTATGCTTCCAAAAGAGGAGGTTTATAAAGCAAGCGTGGTGAGACTATGAAGGCCAGTTGGCACCGGTTAGACAGAAATATGTCAAAGTTTAGAAAATGGTATGCCAATGGTATACCAAGGGAAGGATGATCGTGTTACTATAGCTCCTGAGAGTCAATGTTAAACTGAGAGATGAATGTGGAGAATAAATTACTTAAGTTCTCTTACACTAATGAAGTGTTTCTGGGTCATTTGTCCAAAATTTAAAACACTTCTACATACATACATACAGTTCATTTGATTCTGACTCAAAGGTGTATATTGACCTTCTTCTCGTCTCTTGTATTTCGTCCTCAGAGCCCAAGTTCATCGGTTCGTTCTGGGTTCCTGAGAGCGAGAATCCAGACGACGATAAAGTTTTCTTCTTCTTCCGAGAGACGGCGGTGGAGGCTCAGGGCATCGGCAAGTCCTCGTACTCCCGCATCGGACAGCTCTGTAGAGTAAGGCCAGTCTGAAGAAAGTCTATGGAAGAAGGACTGAACTAAACTCTTTATTTAACGTATCTTTGTGTTATATTTTTTTCAGAATGACCTGGGAGGACAGAGGAGCCTGGTGAACAAATGGACCACGTTTTTGAAAACTCGCCTGGTTTGTTCTGTGCCTGGTGCTGACGGCAGTGACACCTACTTCGATGAACTCCGTAAGAATCTGTTGACCTTTTTTCATTTTTTACATAGTTTAAAGGTCCTGTATTCCACAAATTTAAAGGGACAGTCCAGATTTTAGGACATATTTCATTTCCTAGTGAGCCAGAGTGTTGGAGATGTGCGGAGACACTTTTTTAAATATTCCATCCAGTCCTTGTATTTGCAGAGGTCCCTGGTGCTAGGCTAGTGCATGTCAATGGCCATAGTTAGCCTGCCACTAAAAACAGTCTTACCCACTCCACAAAACACCCGAAACAAATCTATTATTACGCCAGACTGTCAATGTAAATGTCTGTGTTGATAGAATAATGTTTGAAAATAAAACTAACTTTGCATCGCATGAATCGTCGCATGTTGAGGGACTATTTTCTCATATATCAGTCCAATGCCGCCGAGCTTTCTATCAGGGAGTACAACTCGCTGCTGCTGCTCAGACATAAATCCTTCAAATGCAAGGTTGTTTAACTTCTACAATTATTCTATCAACACAGACATTCACATCGACAGTCTGGTGTAATAATAGATTTGCTTTGGATGTTTTGTGGAGTGGGTAAGACTGTTTTTAGCGGCAGGATAACTATGGCCATTAACATGCACTAGCCTAACATCAGTGAGCTCTGCAAATACAAGGACTGGATGGAATATTTTTAAAAAGTGTCTCCACACGTCTCCGACACTCTGGCTCACGAGGAAATGAGGTCTAATGTCCAAAATTCCGGACTGTCCGTTTAAAACATGTTATAAAGCTGTAAAACTGTTATCGCTCCAGTCACGTACCTTTCTTTTTGTGCAGTGCTGTCATCAAGCTTGAAAGGAGTGTGAAATTAAACCAAGTAAAAGTAGTAAAGTACAGTTTTTAAAGGTGCATTTTGTAACTTCTGGTAGAGGGTCCGTCAAAGGCTTTTCTCCATGGAGATGTTATTGTTTTGTCTGGAATGTTTCACAGTATGGCATTAAACCTGTCTATCTTTACGGAGACCAAACGAGACCAAGTTACATGTCACGATAAAACTACCACTACCTATAATTGGATAAATGTAAAGTAGATTTGTTTCAAGTCATTCTGAGGAACATTCGAGTTTAGACTTCATTTAATCTTGATTTGGACTAAGACTCAATCCAGTACGACCATTGACTGGATCTTAGACCGCCTTAAGATCACAATAGAGCAGGGGTCTCCAACCTTTTTCCTGCGGTGAGCTACCTTTACAAAACAAAAATGCCAGACAGCTGCTCATTTTAGCGACCGCAAACAATTGAGAGGATTATAAGAAAGAGGGCGAGCTTTTGGGTACAGTTAGATGCCAATGAAACATAAACTACTGTTCGTTTATTAGTGCAAAGAGTCGGACTTCAGAATTATACATTTTACAATAATAATAGGCATGTAATTAACTAAACTTTTGTTATTTAAAAAAAAAAAAAAAAGCTAAAAAAAAAAAGTATTTAATTTCCCTGTTCCCTAAGTATTTCTCTTTTCCCTTTATGTATTTATTTATGTATGTATTTAATTATTTATGTATACATTTTTTATTTATTATTATTATTATTATTATTATTATTATTATTATCAATCTTATTATATTAGTAGTATTATTATTATTGTCATTATTATTATCATTAGTATTATTATTATTATTATTTTTTTATTAATTTTATAAAAAAATTACAGTGAGATTTGATATTACAATGGAGGACGATAATGGTGAAGGGGGGTTTGGGGGAAAAAAATGGTCACATTATATTACTACTTATTGTTTTTCTCTGTAACATCTGCTTTAAGTGCACAAAAAAAATTAAATAAAATTCTTTGGCGAGCTACTTGGAAAGGGGTGGCCAAAAACTACAGGTTGGAGTCCCCTGCAATAGAAATACTGTATCTATAAACCCAGTGATATTAAACATTATTCCAAACCGTTCTGACCTGTCCATCCGTCAGTGTGTTTTAATCATTGTCGGAATGTGTCCCAGAGAGACTCACCTGCACGACCTCTTTAACCAGATCACAGATGACCCCGGGGCTGTGTTTATCCTACTGTTGACCCCTGACCTCCGACCCCTGACCCTCTGTTTACTGTGCCCTCAGGAGACGTCTTCCTGCTCCAGACCAGGGACAGGAAGAACCCTCTGGTCTACACTGTCTTCTCCACTTCCAGGTCGGAAATATATACGAAAAACACATGTGCAAGTAACTGACTAACTGGGAGGTTTTGAGGTGTAGACCTGGTTTAGGCCTGATGTAGACCTGATTTTAGTCCTGTTTTAGATCTTGGTTTAGTCCTGTTTTAGTCCTGGTTTAGATCTGGTTTAGACCTGATTTAGTCCTGTTTTAGTCCTGGTTTAGACCTGATTTAGTCCTGTTTTAGTTCTGGTTTAGACCTGGTTTAGACCTGGTTTACTGGTGTTTTAGTCCTGGTTTAGTCCTGCTTTAGACCTGGTGTAGACCTGGTTTAGACCTAATGTAGACCTGATTTATTTTTGGTTTAGTCCTGGTTTAGATCTGGTTTAGATTTTGGTTTAGTCCTGGTTTAGACCTGGTTTAGTCCTGGTTTAGACCTGGTTTAGTTGGTGTTTTAGTCCTGGTTTAGTCCTGGTTTAGACCTGGTTTATTCCTGTTTTAGTCTTGGTTTAGTCCTGGTTTAGACCTGGTTTAGTCCTGGTTTAGACCTGGTTTAGACCTGGTTTAGTGGTGTTTTAGTCCTGGTTTAGACCTGGTTTATACCTGTTTTAGTTCTGGTTTAGACCTGGTTTAGCTTTGGTTTAGTCCTGGTTTAGACCTGGTTTAGAGGTGTTTTAGTCCTGGTTTAGTCCTGGTTTAGACCTGGTTTATTCCTGTTTTAGTCCTGGTTTAGTCCTGGTTTAGACCTGGTTTATTCCTGTTTTAGTCCTGGTTTAGACCTGGTTTATTCCTGTTTTAGTTCTGGTTTAGACCTTTTTTAGCTTTGGTTTAGTCCTTGTTTAGACCTGATTTAGTCCTGGTTTAGTCATGGTGCCATCCTGAAGTCTGCATTTTGTTAATTTGACAAGTGTTCATTAGACTCGATTTTGTCCTGATTTGTTTCCTGATCCAAGATTGCGAGGCCATATTCAGTCCAACTTCAGTCTTTTTTAGACTAGCTCTTGTTTAGTCTTGGCCTAGTTCTGGTTTAGTACCGGGCCCTAGATTCAAAGGTGTTGTTTGTAGTGGTACAAATGATTCCTCACTTACCTTATGCATTCTGAATTTCTTAATTGTTCACTGCAATAAGTTTATAAACGTTTTTTGTAACTCAGAGACCAGAGTGAAGTCTTTGTCATGGTAAAGCAACAACTAACATGCACATCGGACAATAAAATTATTTCTGGATATATACACTTTTTCATTTCATTTGCTGATTTACACTTTAAATTCAGCTTGCCCCATATTATTGTTGTACCAAACTAACACTTGTCCTGTGTCCCAGCAGCAGTGTGTTCAAAGGCTCGGCCGTGTGTCTCTACTCCATGAACGACATCCGCAGAGCCTTCCTCGGGCCCTTCGCTCACAAAGAGGGACCCAACTACCAGTGGATCCCCTTCCAAGGAAAAGTGCCCTACCCCCGACCAGGCATGGTACGTACACTGGAGATGCGCGGATTGCGGTTACAGCCGCGGTCGTCGGGCGGATGACGTGACGAAAAATAATAATTTAATTAAATTCGGGCGGGTGGCGGTTTAACTACTCAAATAAAAAAAAATATATTACAGCCTATATTGTTAAGTGTTATGAGATATGCATCTTTACTCCTATGTGCGATGTTTATAGTGGCGTGCGGCATGAGCGTGACTGAGTGACTGCGTGCGCTCCCCTGAGGCACGCGCTTCTTGAATGGGCCTGCGGAGTGTACGAGTGTCTATGTTTTACTGTATGTGACATGAACGGTAGGAAGGCGACCAAAGCGAGTCAGGAAGCAGTTGTCCTGTTATTTCGTGCATCACAGCAAATAAAGCCACGATTCCTTGAGCAACGAACTGGCGCGTTTATTGAGCCCACGCACTCACGGTGAGGCTCCGAACAGGGAGTTACACCCTGAGCAACGAGCAGCGTTTTGTTACAGACAATTAAGAATGTGAACATGCACGTTGAGCGAATTTTGGAATGAATGAGCTATAGAGTTTGCATTTTTATCGAGGCTCTTTAGTTTGTTTGCTGTATGATTGTTCTAAAATCTAAATCAAAGGGCGGATGGCGGGCGAGTGCGGTTTTGAAAATGGACAGCGGGCGGATGATGAGTTTTGTGTCGCAGTTGTGGATAAAAAAATAGCCCATCTCTAACGTACACTTAAATACACAAACTGTGCCGACCACGGTGGTTCTGGCGTCTGAGGCAGTGTAGTTTTAGCTCAGACACAAGTTAAAGTGGTGCTTATGTGTGAATGATCTTTGGATTCACACAGACTGGAGATGTTTGCACTGAACACACAACAGAGACTAACAGCCCACGTGAGAAGTTCAGGCCAGCAAAGAGGTTTCACTCAAGTTGTATAGTTAACCAGTTACAGAAGTTAAAGATGCACAATGTAACTTTTCCAATTGAGCGTGCATACCTTCTTGACAGCGAGGAGATATTATTGCTTTGTCTCGATTGTTTCACAGTTTGGCATTAATTATATCTATCTCGCCTCTCTACAAATCTCACCTGGAGATCAGTATAATGCCATATGGTGTAACATTCTCGGCAAGAGTTCCAAAATAAGCAGGTAGTGGACCCTGCAATAGAAAAATAACATTACATAACACATTACATATGGATCCGGTCAAGTGGTAACGGAGGGAAACGGGCAGATTTTTTACATTCAAATGTCTCTTATTCAGAAACTAGAGGGACTATTGAAATAAGTAAAGTATCAGAATGTAGGAAAGAGTTACACTCCAACAGGGTCAAGTTAAACCTGTGATATTCTTTCAAGTTGTTGACAAAAAATTAAAAAACTCATGTCGGTAACGGAGGGAATGAAATATGCAGCACTTTTTGGGCAATAAATCCAAACAGTGATAACTCTTGGTTCTCACTTACATATCCTTAACAAACTGGTTTGAATATTTGCTTCATATAGTTTTCTACCATATGGTACAAGATTAGGTTGAAAAACCTCTTACTTTTTGAGTCATGAGATTTTTTTTATCAAGAAAGGTCATGGTAACGGAGGGAAAAGTAACGGAGGGAAAATTGTGCAAACAAGTAGAAGGTGCATGATTTTGTATAATTTGTCAGTTTTTTTCTTCCGAATACTTTAATATTACTTCAAAATGAAAGGAAACTATTTCTATAAAATATGTCAGTCCTTCCAAGCAAATTTTTATCATTTTAAATACATAAAATCATGTACCTTCATCAACAGTTCAAAGATGGAATAACACAAGATATGATGAAATACATCCATTTATTTACATGATTTGCAGGTCTTTGAAATTTGTGAAATAATTTTTGTTCCATGTTTCATACATGGTCTGTTTAAAACGTATGTAACTTTAGAACCAAAAATGGTACAGAAAAAGGTCAACAGTTTCATAAACTAGAGCACATATGTATCTGTTCAATACATTTTTATATCAGATGCATTAACTTGAATTTTTGGCCTTGTTGTTTACTTCTGCTTGACCGGGCCCATTACACATAACACTATAACTTAGCCTGGTGCAAATGTTGCTATGGAGATCAACATAATGCCATACTGCGTAACATTCTAGGCGAGAATTTTAAGACAAGCAGTTAGTGGACTCAGAAATAGTAAAATTATATAATATTATATTATTATTATATTATATTATATTAAAAATATACACTGCAAAAAGCAATATGTACGTCAGTTAAAATGACTTAAACTAAGAAGAACATTTTACTTTATTTGAGTAAATTCAACTTGACAAATACAATTATCTGCCCATGGAATAAGTGTGTTTATTTTAAGTTTATTTCTTGTCTTATCTAAATGTTACAAGATGTATTTTCATATTTTGAGTACAAAAAGTCTTGTTCCATTGGCAGATAATTTAACTTTACTCAAATCATGATAAAACTCAAGTAATTAAAGTCATCTTAACTTGGCTAGACTTTAGTTTTTGCAGTGTAGTGCACAATTGCTGGCCCTGATTTTAGTGTTTAGTCTGTTTGAATTATGTTATTGGGATTGGCAACTAACCAAAGGGTTTGTGGTTCGGTTCCGAGTCTGAAAAAGTTTACAGGATCATTATGTCCATGAGCAAAGTACCTAGACTGAAAACTATGAATAAACAACCACACCTGCTACAAGTAATTCTAAGAGTACATCAATATAAAAGAAAAAAAACTACATTGATTTTCCATTTTAATAAACAGTTACGGCCAATTTTCCTAAAACCCAAAGCCTGACTAATGACTCCCAATTCAAACTAATTCTGTGTCTGAACTTTTTGGAGCACAAACAAATGTCTGGGCTCTTTGTGAAGCTGAGGCTCTGGAGTTTTGGCCTTTGTCTGATCTACTCTCATTATTAGTGGAGCACACTTTGTACAGAGGAACATCGCATTTCAAATTCTGGCTGGGTTTTTTTGGGGTAAATATAAGAAAAGGTATAGCTGGTGTCTTGAGGGATGGTCCGATAGACTGAGATTGTGTATTTTTTGGGTTCTAACAATTCTCATATCAAGGACGAAACATGTCAGTCAAAAAAGGTAATTAATATACAACGTCTATAATTTTTTTGTGAATTTTAGGCTTATTTTTTGTAGTCTGGTCCAGCTTCACATGTCCATGAGCTTGGTAGTTCACTTTTATCAGCTGATGGACAAAAAGAAATTCATACAAATACACCAATATACACATTTTGAGTTGGATTCTACTGTGCCTTCTGTCAGTCACCTCTTCACCCAGACCTTCTCACACCCCAGAGCCCAGTATTCTTTGTCACCCAGACCTTCTGAGAACCAGACCCCAGTGCACTTCGTCAGCTAGACCTTCCCACATAATCATAGAACACGCAAATCAGTAGTTTCAGCTTTATCTAAGGCTGCGTTCAGACTGCAACCTAAAGTGACCCAAATCCGATTTTTTGGCCCCTATGTGACCTGTATCTGATCTTTTAATGACAGTCTGAACGACACAGATCAGATTTTTTCAACATGGATATGTGGTCCTGAAACCGATACATATCCGATCTTTTGACATGCGACTTCAGTGTGAACGGCCAAAGCGCATTCATCCGACCTACACGTTATCAACAAGACACAAACGTCACTATTCTGCGCTGAAGTAGGCGAAAATTGTCTACGTCTCCACATCCACACTTTCCTTTCAACGTACGTCGCTGCCGCTGTCCAACAAAACACCACGGCCAAAAACCTCCTTCTCAATCTCCTCCTGAAAACAAGTAAGTTGTTCATGTTCTGGCTCCGGTACGAGAGGAACTTTAAAATCTCCAGGTGCTCAATGCTCGCGTCCATGTTTGGACAACTTCCGTAAACACAGAGCACGCTCGCTGCGGTTGACATCGTCGTGTCTCCAGTGCACATGCGGGACACTTTTGGGGCGTTTAATGTTCACACTGGAGTCACATACAAGTCGCATTTAATTGAAAATGTGAACGACCTCGCAAAAACATCGGATTTCACAAAAAAATCGGAATTGAGCGTTAAGCCCTGCAGTCTGAACGTAGCCTAAGACTTCTTTTAAGAATTTCACTCAGCCAAATCCCTCCTTTTAAAACCGCATATTCGTCCACCCCTCACCTCGTCACCCCAGACCTTCAAACACCCCAGAGCCCAGTGCTCTTCATCACCCAGACCTTCTCACACAGTCCCAGTGCTCTTCATCACCCAGACCTTCTCACACAGTCCCAGTGCTCTTCATCACCCAGACCTTCTCACACAGTCCCAGTGCTCTTCGTCACCCAGACCTTCTCACAGCCTCTCAGTCCTCTTCGTCACTCAGACCTTGCAATCCCAGTGCACTTCGTCACCAAGACCTTCTCACGTAATCGCAGTACACTCGAGTCAGTAGTTTTCAGCTTTATTTATGACTTTTTAAAAAGAATTTCACTCAGCCAAATCACTCCTTTTACAACCGCATATCCCTTCGCCAGTCACTTCTCCACACCAGATCCAAGTTCTCTTTGTCACCCAAACTGTTCCTAGTCCTGATTAAATTTGATCTTATCTCCTTTGTCCAGTCCCTGAACGCCCCATGTATTTTTATAAAATCATAGTACACCCAAATCAGTAGTTTTCAGCTTTATTCAAGACTTATTTTCAGACTTTCACTCAGCCAAATCATTCTTTCACCTCTTCAGCCCAGACCTTCAAACACCCCAGACCTCTCTATGTTTCATCACCTAGACCTTCTCAAAACCTGGCTAGATCCCAATACTCTCCGTCACCCTGACCTTTTCTCACAATCCCTTACTTAGACCTTCTCACATAATTATAGTACACCCAAATCAGTAGATTTCAGCTTTATTTAAGACTTATTTTCAGTATTTCACTCAGCCAAATCATTCTTTTTAATACCGCATATTCCTCCACCCCTCACCTCTTCGCTCTAGACCTTCTAACACCCTAGAGCCCAACGCTCTTCGTCACCCAGACCTTCTCACAGCCTCCCAGTGCTCTTCGTCACCCAGACCTTCTCACAGCCTCCCAACGCTCTTCGTCACCCAGACCTTCTCACAGCCTCCCAGTGCTCTTCGTCACCCAGGCCTTTTCACAGCCTCCCAACTCTCTTCGTCAGCCAGACCTTCTCACAGCCTCCCAACTCTCTTCGTCACCCAGAAACTTCTCACAGCCTCCCAACGCTCTTCGTCACCCAGAAACTTCTCACAGCCTCCCAACTCTCTTCGTCACCCAGACCTTCTCACAGCCTCCCAACGCTCTTCGTCACCCAGAAACTTCTCACAGCCTCCCAGTACTCTTCGTCACCCAGAAACTTCTCACAGCCTCCCAACTCTCTTCGTCACCCAGAAACTTCTCACAGCCTCCCAACTCTCTTCGTCACCCAGACCTTCTCACAGCCTCCCAACTCTCTTCGTCACCCAGAAACTTCTCACAGCCTCCCAACTCTCTTCGTCACCCAGAAACTTCTCACAGCCTCCCAACTCTCTTCGTCACCCAGAAACTTCTCACAGCCTCCCAACTCTCTTCGTCACCCAGACCTTCTCACAGCCTAGATCCCAGCTCTCTTCGTCACCCAAAGTGTTTCCAGTCCTGATTAAATTTGTTCTTATCTCCATGTGTCCAGTCCCTAAACGCCCCATGGCCTTCTTTGTGCGAGTGTGGGATTAACCAGCAGAACTAATGTCATTAAACGCTGCTTTGGTGAAACAACAGCCAATCACAGCTCATTATTCAGACGGGGCACCCTGCACTGTGAGAGCCTGCTCCTTCTCTTTCACTCTAATTGACCCATTCATTTAGGACTTCAGCAAAACAAAGACTTCTGTATGGGGTTGTGGGATGTCAATTTGGGGTCAGCCATCGCCTCCTTTGACCAAAAATCACGAACACCCTATTCATACTAACCTGACTGGCCCGTCTCTTTTGCATTCTGTTTGAATCCAGAAGGGACTGAAGGGGGAAAAAACTCCAGCCAGACTTGAGACGGTCCAACCACAGCCGCGAATTTGTAGCACGTGTCTTTCAAATGCGGAAGACATCTCCTCTAGAAATTTTTTGTAACATTCAGAACAAAATATATAACTTATTTTACCTGAAATAAGTAATAGATTGGCAGTTTGATTGTTGATTCTGTAAAAATCCACGCTGTTTCTCAGTCCTTTATGTAGATTTTTGTCCTGGTTCAGTTGTGGTTTAGTCCTGGTTTAGTCCTGGTTCAGTCTTGTTCAGTTCTGGTTCAGTTGTGATTTAGTCCAAGTTTAGTCCTGGTTTAATCCTGTTCAGTCCTGATTCAGTCCTGGTCCAGTCCTGTTTTGTCGTGGGTCAGTCCTGGTTCAGTCCTGGTTCAGTCTCGGTTCAGTCCTGTTTCAGTCCCAGCTTAGTCCGGGTTTAGTCTTGGTTGTCCCAATTCAGTCCCGTTATAGTCCTGGTTCGGCCCCGGTCCAGTCCTGGTTTATTCCTGGTTCAGTCCTGGTTCAGCCTTGGTCCAGTCCTGGTTTAGTCCTGGTTCTGTCCTGGTTCAGTCCTGGTTCTGTCCTGGTTCAGTCCTGGTCCAGTTCTGGTCAAGTTCTGGTCAGTCTTGGTTTATTCCTGGTTCTGTCCTGGTCCAGTCCTGGTTTATTCCTGGTTCAGCCTTGGTCCAGTCCTGGTTTAGTCCTGGTTCTGTCCTGGTTCAGTCCTGGTCCAGTTCTGGTCCAGTCCTGGTTTATTCCTGGTTCTGTCCTGGTTCAGTCCTGGTTCCAGTCCTGGTCCAGTCCTGGTTTATTCCTGGTTCAGTCATAGCTCAGTCCCGATTCAGTCCTGTTTTAGTCCTGGTTCAGTCCCGGTTCAGTCCCGGTTTATTCCTGCTTCAGTCCTGGTTCGACCCTGGTTCTGTCCCGGTCCAGTCCTGGTTTAGTCCTGGTTCAGTCCCGGTCCAGTCCCGGTCCAGTCCCGGTTCAGTCTTGCTTCATACTCTTTCTGTTTTCCCCAGTGTCCCAGTAAGACATTTGGCAGTTTCGAGTCGACCAAAGGATTCCCAGACGAGGTGATCCAGTTTGCCCGGCACCACCCGCTCATGTACAACCCGGTCTACCCCCTGAACCGCAAACCCGTCTTTGTCCGGACCAACGTGGACTACAGCTTCACCCAGTTAGCCGTGGACCGGGTCAACGCCGCCGACGGACAGTATGACGTCATGTTCATCGGGACAGGTACCAGTTTAGGTCTTACAAATACATTCATGGGGCCATACTGTCAGGTAATAAAGTAAAACATTTTTGCCACCGTAGATGTTACAAAAGCAGCTCTTAGTGTCAAAATAAGAAAAACAAACCTTTAGTATTAGTCTGTCTACATCTTCAAAGCTCAAAAATATCTGTTCCTTCTTGTAGTAGTGGTAGATTTCAAGTTAACAACGATCTTCTACTTGTTGTTTAGTAGAGAATTTGAATTCCTGGGCTGAAATGATCCAAATGATTCTAGTGAAGGTGCATAGAATTTAAAAACACATTGGAGCACTTCCTTTATAGAGGCTTTGCACCGTCACGTGACCCCTATAGCAACGGTACTTACGCCGCCATGACACCGGGCACACTATGTCATTGACTTCAGCAGCATCGGAGAAACATGGGCAGGTTTTGTTGTGTATTTGGTTGTTCTAGACGCTCTGAACGGGATAAAACGAATCATTTCTTCACTGTTCCTCTGGAAATTACTCATCAGGAGCTCCAACAAAGGGAATTATCAAAAAAAAAAAAACAGGAATTATGTCTAGAGAACATAAACCGCGAAGAGATTTCCTGTGGTACCATCAAGACACACTCATGTCACTTTCATCAAGGTATTTGCTATTTAAATTGTTTCATAGTTTATTTAATGAGAGAAGCACATTTACTGAACTAAAATGTAAAAAGAAAACATTTGCAGTGTGAGTGGCAGTAGAAACTGTATCTTCCAGCGCACATATAAACATGTCACTCGTCGTAGGACCCATGTTTTCTTTATTGTCTTGTTTATCCACAACTATGTCTTCTAGAATTAATCTCTTTTTGCGAGCGGATCTTTCTAATGTTCACGAGGATCTTTTCATGGTCGATTCTTTCGAGGTTCGGCTCACAGACTCTTCGACTCGTGCGTCATGTTGATCATAGGAGCCCAGTGTGGGTTCGTTGAATCGTAAACTAGTGCAGGTTTTCCTGGATAAATTAATGACATTTTAGTTCAGTAAATGTGCTTCTTTCATTAAATAAACTATGAAACAATTTAAATAGCAAATACCTTGATGAAACTTTGGGTGACTTGATGGTACCATTGGAAATCTCTTCGCGGTTTATTTTTGCTAGCCATAATCTGCGTCTTTTTTTTCGATAATTCCCTTGTTTGAGCTCCTGATGAGTAATTTCCAGAGGAACAGTGAAGAAACGAATCGTTTTATCCCTTTCAGAGCGTCTAGAACAACCAAATACACAACAAAACCTGCCCATGTTTCTCCGATGCTGCTGAAGTCAATGACATAGTGTGCCCGGTGTCATGGCGGCGTAGGTACTGTTGGTATAGGGGTCACGTGACGGTACAAAGCCTCTATTACGACAGTGTTTTCTGTTTGAGAGAAGAACTGAGCCCAAATATGCAGCCCAAATAATTTGTGTGTGTGTAAATTAAACCAAACAAAACTCCAGGTACGTCGAGGAAACATTATAACATAGATGAGAAAAACTATAGCCTTTTAAAAACATGGACTTTGAGAGTAAATTTTCTACTTCCGCGCTTGCTCCGCTGTATCTGGGCACACACACGTGCAGTTTGAAAAATCGGGCAATAACAGGTTGTTACCACGCTAATTGCTGTTAGTATAATAAGAGTGACGTCAAAACTCCGCTCTGGCCTCTGAGAGCTGTGAAAAGCGCTTATAAAATCAATGCCGTGAATAATTAGGAATCCAATAACAAATTAAGAATAAGCTTGAACTAATTCTGTTTTTCACGGTTTTAAGACGGTAAAAATAAGATACAGCGTCTCTAATTTAGCCCCAAATGTGCTTTTGTTTTACATTTAAAAGATTGGTTTTAAAATTGTTTCATGTTTTCCAGACAAAGGGACAGTGTTGAAGGTGATCAGTGTTCCCAAAGAGAGTTGGAACAACATGGAGGAGCTGTTACTGGAGGAGCTGGAAGTTTTTAAGGTCAGACTCAAATTCAATTTGTTCAAGTCCTTATAATATTGTACAGTGAAAGCTTTGAAGGCTAAATGGAAATGTGAATTTTTTTTTCCCCTTCAGGACAACTCGGCAATCATCAACATGCAGATCTCCTCTAAACGGGTAAAATTAAGTATTTATTTTTATTTCGTATTATTAGTATTTTTGTATTATTAGTATTTTAGTATTATTAGTATTTTTTAATTACTATTTTAAGTATTTTTTTATAATATTTTTTAGTATGTTTTATTAGCATTTTTGTATTTATTTTATTTAGTATTTTATTTACATTTATTTTTATTTTCAGTATTTATTATTATTATTTATTTATTTATTTTAGTCGGGACACTTAAAGGTGCGCTATGTAACTTTTTGGTTATGGATCTGTCAGCTGCTTGTTTCTATGGAGATGTCATTGCTCTGCCTGGAATGTTCCACAGTATGACATTAAACAGCTCTGCCTTACATTTATTCAATTACAGGTGGTTTTATAACTCAAAAATACCTTGAAAAACAGACATTTACACTGTGAACAGAGTCGCCTCTCCACACATCTGACCTGTAACTTGGTCTGGTTTGGTTTCCACGAATACAGAAAGGTTTAATACCATACTGTGAAACATTTCAAACAAAGCAATATCATCTCCATGGAGAAAAGCATTTACATTTAACGGACCCTCCACCAGAAATGTTACACAATGCACCTTTAGTGAACACAGATTAGACAGATTAACAACACTCTCAAGGCCAGAACTCGATGTAAATATATTGTGGTACATTTGAATATTAAAATCCACGTTGTGCTTTGTATCCATAGCAACAGCTGTACGTGGGCTCGGACACTGGGCTGGCTCAGGTGCCTCTCCATCGCTGCAGTGTTTACGGAAAAGCCTGCGCCGAGTGCTGCCTCGCCCGGGACCCCTACTGCGCCTGGGACGGGACCTCCTGCACACGATACTTACCCAATACTAAGAGGTAATACTGCAATCACTGTCACTACTGTTAGTACTGTAAGACTACTAACTCCACTTTGCCTGGGACGGGACCTCCTGCACACGATACTTACCCAATACTAAGAGGTAATACTGCAATCACTGTCACTACTGTTAGTACTGTAAGACTACTAACTCCACTTTGCCTGGGACGGGACCTCCTGCACACGATACTTACCCAATACTAAGAGGTAATCACTGTTAGTACCAGGTCAGCAGACAATGGGATCTGTTGTCTTGGGCCGCAGGGTTTTAGAAGCCCAGAACTGGACCCTCTTCTTATTCATTTATATTAGAGTGGGGCCCATGTAAAGCTTCTTGCCATGGGCCCCCAAATTACTGTCGATGGGCCTGGTTACTACTATAATACTGACTGCAGAGTGAGACGGGACGGGACCCCCTGTACAAGATACTTACCAATAAGAGGTGATACTACACAGTAAAAAGTGGAGTGTTAAAATTGACTCTCACAGAATCAACTTTGACATTTTCTCAGAGTTTATATGAGTCCAATCTGTTCCAGAGTTAATTTAACATTTTTGGAACTGTTAATTAAGCAACACTGGACCAAAGTTCCTGTTTAACCCCGAAATCAAGAGTTATATTAATGTTTTGAGAGTAAACAGATAACACTTTGTAGGATTATCCTGATTTAGCTAAACAACACACAGAGGTGTTTTATTTTATTTTTTACTTTATTTTAGTTAATTTAAGATGAAATTATGTACAAAACTGGTTCAAACTGGTCTTCTCTCGCAAGAGTTTGAAGTGTTTAATGGGAGGAGCCAAATTAACACTAAGAGAGGTTGAATTAACACTAGAGGAAGTTGAATTTAACCTCAACCACATCAACTCTGGCAAATAACTCCAACTCGAACCCCCATTTAACTTTCAGATAGTTAAAATAACACTTTTGGTGTTAAAAAACAACTCTGAAATATTTTACCCTAAAATTTTAACCCTCCAGTTTTGCTGCTGTGTACTACTACTACTATTAGTACTATAATACTATAATACTTCTAACTCCACATCACCTGGGACGGGACCTTCTATACAAGATACTTACCCAATAATAAGAGTTAATACTGTCACTACTATAGTACTATAAAGCCACTAACACCACATTGCTTGGGATGGGGCCCTCTGTACAAGATACTTACCCAATACTAAGAGGTAATACTGCTTTCACTATTTGTACTGTAATACTACTAACTCCACATCGCCTGGGACGGGACCGTCTATACGAAATACTTACCCAGTACTAAAAGATAATACTACTACTGTGACCACTATACTACTTCTAATTCTACTGTGCCTGTTTAAGTATCTGGTGTACAGGATACTTAACCTACTTCAAAGAGGTAATACCACTACTATTACTGTACTTCTGCTAACCTGACTGCACCCAGGATAGGAACTTGTGTACAAGATACTAATATACAATACTAGTAAGTAATATTAATACTACTATACGATTATCATATCTACTGTGCCTGGTTAAGTGTCTGTGTAAAAGATACTTGTCCAATGCTCAGAGTTAGAATAGGCCAACTACAGGAGTCTCCAACCTGCAGCTCAGGAGCTACTAGTAGCTCTCCTCCTCCTCCCAAGTAGCTCACCAAGGGATTTTTGAATTATACTTATTGTGTTGAATGGCTCAAATATGATGAACTACCATTGTAAATGTATAATTTTGATGCCTAACTTTATTAGGGTGACCAGATGTCCCTATTTCCCCGGACAGTTCCAGTTTTGAGTCCTGTGTCCCCTGTCCCAGCAGATTTATACAAAACCAGTGATTTGTCCCAGTTTTATACAAGAAATGTCACAGGTGTCCTCATTTCTGACCAATCTGATCCCCGCCAACAATAAAGACGGCACAAATTGTTTGTTTATATAAAATACAAAAAAGCTGCTTAAAAATGACTAAAACACAAAGGAAATGTGACTATACTGACTCACGTGTTAGTCATGAATGGTCTTGGTCAATTTTCCCTAATTTCACAGTCATTTCACAATTTTACCAACCACCAAAAACCTGGGGATGTCCCAGTTTTTTATTTTTGAAAATTGGGTCACCCTAAACTTTGTGCACTAAATGATGGATAAAGGTTTGTGTTTTATAAGTATCTATTGTTTCCTATCTAAGGCTTTCCTATTCTCAGTTCCTTATAACCACTAAAATAAGTAGCTCTTTGGCTTTTTTTTTTTGTAGCTCACTGGAAGAAAAAGGTTGGAGACCCTTGGCTTACTACTATAAATACTACCCCCATCATTATACTACTAATATTATTACTACTTAACCTAGTACTACTACAACTTTTACACTTGACATTTCTAAGTCTTTGAGCTTTCTTTCTTTGTCAGGTTTTCATGCTCTATTATGTCAGGGTGTTGGGTTTCTTCCAGAAGTTTAATCACAAATCCTTCCAGTTTAGGTGATCCTGACTTGTGTTTTGTCTTTCTGTTTTTCAGACGTTTCCGAAGACAGGATGTGAGAAATGGAGACCCCAACACGCTCTGCTCTGGAGGTATGAGCTCACAATATAGTACTTTGTTCAGTTCAGTTGTCATTCATTAAAAAGCCGATATTACGCTATTTTCGGATCTGTGTTTTAATGTTGTTTTCTCATCACGAACAAACCTGAAGTTGTGTTTTGAGTCAATTTTGTGTAATATATGCCTTTAAAACAACTTGGCGGTCACATTGGTGTTTAGAGCAATAGGATAAGATGGTAATAGTAGTCCACAGTATTAGTTCTGAATCATATAAAATGACTCACTTTATTGTATATCATTTGTTCATGTGACCGTATATTCACTGCATGACGCATAAACCCAATACAAGTAGTTATTGTATCAAATCTGACTCGGCAAATTTCAAACTCATCAGTGAGATTCTTAGAAAACTGTGAACTCTTTGTAGCTGAGAACACGTTAATCTGAACAAAGACCCCTTTTCAGCGCACGACCTCTGACCTTTCACCCCCACAGCACCGCCACACTGTGTCAGGTTCCACTGGGCCGTTACACATACTTTACATTGGGACTTCAAGTGGCACTTTGTTAACTCGGTGATTGTTTTATGCAAAAAGTGGCCAAATAATTTAATGAATGGGACCTAATTTATACCAATATTGTGATAAAAAGCAGCTATGATTAATAGTTAAATATATTATTACATTATAACTGAGACAATTATTGATGAGGTCCACTAAATGTATGGAGACTGCCAAAAGAGTAAACATTTGAGGTGAATAATATCAAACACAGCATGTCCTAGTGTTTTGTGATAGAACTAGGGCTGTGTAGTATGTAAAGTATTGAAAATCAGATACTAATCGCTTGTAAAATTAATATCAAAACTAGATATTCATTTGAGCAGGTATAAATATTAAAAAAGTCACATTCACAGAACAAAAATGAACCTTTCCTGAATAGTTTTTGAATGATTTAGACAAGTACTGTATTTTCCTGACCAGCCAAAAAATGCACAACGAAGAAGAAAAAAACATCTATAAGTCGCACCGGACTATAAGCTTTTTTTGGGAAATGTATTTTATAAAATCAGAGAACAGGAACCGACATTTCACCTTGAAAGGCAAGTTATAGTAAAAACAACAGAATAGAGAACAACAGGCTGAATAGGCGTTAATTATGTTAACGTAACATATGAACAGTTATTTAGATAATTATAGTAAAAAAACCATAAGTTTACCAAACTCTCGATCTCACTCCAAATCACTAAATCCATTGCATTCTTCATCATCGGTGTCACTTCTGCGCGACCTCCGGAGATAAACCGTAGACCCATGATGTAAACAGAGCACCGCTTCCTCTTCTGTGTAGCTGTGGTCAGACTCAGCATCAGTTCCAGTTAGAATTATTCCAGCCTTTCTGAATCCCGACAGGATGGTTTCGGTTGTCATTGAAGTTCAGGCTTTGTCGATTCACTCAGTGACGTTCCAGGAAAGTTTCATGGTGCACCCGCCCGGTTTCCGTTAAGCTGTTCTCTCCATCCCCACTTTTTGCCAGTCCCTCATAAGTTTCTCGCTCACTCCAAACTTTCTTTCTGCTGCTTGATTACTGTTTTCTGTGGCATATTTCACTACTTGAAGCAGGACAGTGGCTTTTTCTGCAGGAGACATGCACAGAAAACTGATACACAAGCCTAGAGCCTCTCGCGGCTGTCAGTTTGAGAATTTTAATATATAAGTCGCATCGGTGTATAAGTCGCAGGACCACCTAAACCGTGAAAAAAACTGCGACTTATAGTCCGAAAAATACGGTAATAGTCTGGATCAAAAATAGCACGTTCTGGTATTATGTGATAGAACTAGGGCTGTGTAGTAAGTTAAGTATTGAAAATCAGTTACTAATCGCTACTAAAACAAGCACTGAAACTAAATACTCATTTGAGCAGGTATCAATATTAAAAAAAGTCACATTCAAGACAAAAAGGAGTTTCCGAACATGGACCACTGTGGAATCTTGGAACCTACATGGACAGCTGTGGGATCACACAGATATAAGACCACATCGTAATATAAAAGAAAGTACTATTATTTAATTATAAAATCACATGCTGTTGGCTAAATAAAGTAAAGAAATATAGTTTTTATAATCATCATGGAATCAGAATTGGTATTGAGTCTGTTTCTTAGTATCGAAATTATTGTATCGTGACAACAGTAGATAGAACAACATATGCTGCAGTATTTTCGCAGATGTAGTAACAATTGGACACAAGATAATATTTTAAGTACAGTCTGTAGTAAAGACAACTTCCCTTCCTTAAGTGATAGTAACAGTTTTTTCCTATGCCTCTCAGTCGTAGTGGCGTCTCATGTGCTGTCCTCTGCTGCCCCCTACAGACCACCATAAGCACCGCGTCTCCGAGAGGAAGCTGTACGCTGTGGACGGCAGCAGCACCTTCCTGGAGTGTATCCCCAAGTCTCTGCAGGCTCAGGTCACGTGGACGTATCAGAGAACGCCCCAGAGCCAGAGAGAAGAGGTGAGAAAGACACCGAAGAGAGATTAAACCAGACAGCTCAAAAAGAACAGATAATGAATAGACTGAATAAACAGATTAAATTAATATATTAAATAGGTCAAATAATTTCTCTTGTGGATCATTAAAGATTGTCTAAGTCTAAATAAGTTACGAGGTGGGTATGACACCTACATTTTCACCCTCACTAGTTCACAGTAGATGCACAAACAGATAAAACTAGTTTGGACCAACCCAACGATCAAGAAGAGGTTCATGTCTCTTAGTTTCTCCCGACTCCGAGACACTGAGAAGACATTTAGGTTTTGCTTATCTACAAAGGAAAAGTTTGATATGAGCACAACATAAAATCTGGATTATCTACAATGGAAAAGGTGAAGCAAATCTAAAGCCCCACTCTGTAACTTTTCAGCTATAGATAAAAATAAACAGCATGTGGGTAACACTTTATAATAACTACACCTTATTTAGCCTTAATAAAGCATGAACAAAGACTTAATTAATAATGAACAAAGACTTAATTGATAATGATTAATGCTTAGTAAATGCTTAATTACTACCTTAATTAGCACTTAACTTGCCTGTGCTGTAAATAGTTACTCATAATTATTTCATAATTAATTACTCATGAACTAACCATTTGTGTGTGCATTTGTAAATGCATATTTAAATACAAATTTGAGCATTTATGAATGATTAGTAAGCTACGAGAGAATGATTTATTAATGATGCAATGATAACAGATGCCTGAATTAAGTCTTTTTGAGAGCTTTTCTAAAGTGAAGAGTAATTATCCTTTATTAAGCATTTACTAAGCGTGAATCATTATTAATTAAGCCTTTGTTCATTATTTATTAAGTCTTTGTTCATGCTTTATTAAGGCTAAATAAGGTGTAGTTATTATAAAGTGTTACCAGCATGTTTTTATTGAGCTGAAAAACAACGGCTTGCAACTCCACAAACCTGACTCCGATTTGCCTTGACCAGGGCCTCCTCCCGCTTGTCTCAGTGGAATTGTCGTTCCTTTAATATTCAACAAAACAGCACAAAACAGAACAAAACAAAAACAACACAAAACAGAACAAAACTACACACACGAACACAAACACAAAACACAGGTGCTGGTAATCTCCTTAAACAGGAGGAGGAGGCTGGAGGTGAGGCAGGATTGGCCAGGTGTAGAACTAATCCACCAATCACGGACCAGGGCTCTCACAGCAGGAATTCACGGGGACAGGAATGGAATTAAAACACACACAAAACTCTAAGAACTGCAGGCCTGGGGCGGTAACACTTGAACACTTCATCTCTCATCTTTTTAGTTAGAACTGGGGATTTATTTAAACATGCACTATGTAACTTTTTGGCTGGTGGTCCGTCACCTGCTTGTTCCTCTAGATATTTTCCTTTAAAGGGACAGTCCGGAAGTTTGGACAAAGGGCCTTATTTCCTAGTGAGCCAGAGTGTTGGAGACGTGTGGAGACACTTTTTAAAATATTCCATCGAGTCCTTGTATTTGCAGAGGTCGTCATTGTCAATGGTCATAGTTCTCCTGTCACTAAAAACAGTCTTATCCACTCCACAAAACACCCGAAGCAAATCTATTATTACACCAGACTGTCGATGTGAATGTCTGTGTTGATAGAATAATGTTTGAAATAAATCTAACCTTGCATCGCGTGAATTGCTGCATGCACAACTCGCTGCTGCTGCTGCTCAGATGTAAATCCTTCAAATGCAAGGCTGGTTTTACATCTACAATTATTCTATCAACACAGACATTCACATCGACAGTCTGGTGTAATAATAGTTTTGCTTCGGGTGTTTTGTGGAGTGGGTAAGACTGTTTTTAGTGGCAGGATAACTATGACCATTGACATGCACTAGTCTAGCACCAACGACCTCTGCAAATACAAGGACTGGATGGACAGTGTTGGGAGTGTTACTTGTATTCTAATACAATACTAAATGTATTCCCCTACAGATTACAGATTACATACCCCAAAATGTAGTTTGTAATGTAATCCATTAAATTACTTAAAGTGAGTAACGTAATCTGAATACTTTGGATTACTTGATTTGCTGTAGAGAAGCAAAGGCGAGGAAATCTTCACATAAGACTTTTTGTCTGCTAAAAGAAAATAAAAAGCCCAGACTTTACTTAACCACATAAAAAATATTATTGATAGAAGAGGAGACACGTCCACACAGCATGGTTTAGTCCTGGTTTATTCCTGGTTTAGACCTAGTTTAGACCAGGTTTAGAACTGGTTTGGACCTGAGTTTAGTCCTGGTTTTAGATCTGGTTTAGACCTGGTTTAGTGTCCGGCAATGAGTGGAATTACCAAACAAAACAAAACAAAACAAAAAATGGAATAGCCCAAAATGTGAAAACAGGAAAATACCTCTGTGTAATCCATTTATTTCAACAAAGTAACTGTAATCCAATTACCACTCACTGAAACAGTAACTGTAACTGAATACAGTTACTCATAATTTGTACTCTGATTACATAACTCCGGTACATGTAATCTGTTACTCCCCAACACTGTGGATGGAATATTTAAAAAAGTGTCTCCACACGCCTCCGACACTCTGGCTCACTAGGAAATGAGGCCCTATGTCCAAAATTCTGGACTGTCCTTTTAAGATCAGCCTTGATTTTTCCACAGAATGAAAAAATACCTAGAGAAACATTAGAGAGACAGATCTGACCTGTAACTTGGTCTGATCTCCATGAAGATAGAAAGATTTAATACGATACTGTGAAACATTCCAGACAAAGCAATAACATCTTCATTGAGAGAAGCATTTGACGGACCACCAGAAAAGTTCCACAGTGCACCTTTAGACGCTTTTATTCACCGTGTTGTTGTGTTTGTCTCCGTCAGGTGCGTCTGGACGACCGAATCCTTCAGACCGACCGCGGGCTGTTGATCCGCCGGGTTTTAAAGCGCGACCTGGGCCTGTACCAGTGCCACGCCATGGAGCACGGCTTCACCCAGACCCTGCTCGGAATCACCCTCGAGGTCGTCCCCACCGCCGCGCCGCAGGACCCCCCCTCCAAACTGGACCCCCGCTCCCCTAACCCCGCCCACTCGCACCCCTCCACCAATCAGAAGCTGTGGTACCGCGACTTCATGCAGCTCGTGGACCACCCCAACCTCAGCACCGTCGACCAGATCTGCGAACAGGTGTGGGCGCGCAAACAGGCCACTAACCAGCACACGACGGAGAAAGGCACCGTGGGAAACGTAGGCAAAGACCACTCGGCCGCGCAGCCAGCGGGGGGAGCTCCGGGGCAGGTCACGGTGAACAGGCCCAATAATAAGAAGTGGAAGCATCTGCAGGAGATTCGGAAAGGCAGGAACAGGAGAACGCACGAGGGGAAATCGAACCCGCGCACGCCTCGCTCGGCCGGGGAATGAAGATGAGAGAAATGGGGGAGGGAGAGAGAGACTAAAGACAGGAGCAGAGACTGAGACAGAACTCAAGAGTGAAACTGTGGAGGAGAGGGAGGAGCTGGACACAACGTGACCACTGTCGGAACAAAGCTTCACTCAGTTTAAATTTAAAACTCTGCTGGTTAAACAGTGGTATTTTCAACTATGGTAAAAAGTTTCTGATTTGATCTTTTCTGGAGGCTCCGCAGACCTTCTTGTCTCCATGAAGATGTTATTGCTTTACCTGGAATGTTCCACAGTATAGTATTTAAACCTATCAGATCTCCATGGAACCAAGCATGTAAAATTAGAGGTCGAATATGTAGAAAAATCATTCATTCGTTCGTTTTTCAATATAAAACCAAAAATAAGAAAACGAAAAAAACAACAATTTTCTTCATTGTTTGTCTTCAAAACCAAAATGAAAAAACAGATAATGATTTGTTTTTTCAGTTTTTGATTTTGTGTTTAAATGAATAATGGAAAGGATAAAGTATAAAGTATAAATGGAAAGGATTTCCCGTTTATGTGACTTCCGTGACTGCGATGCTGGACTTTTTCGCCGCATACGGACAGAACCAGGACTGAATCAGGACTAAAACATGACTAAACCAGAACTAAACCATTGTCAGTCCTGGTCTGGTTCCAGTCTCAGTCCTGATCTCAGTCCCTGGTCTCAGTCCTGGTCTCAGTCCTGGTCTCAGTCCTGGTCTGGTTCCAGTCTCTGGTCTGGTCCCGGCTGTTATCCGTTTTTTCCATTATTCATTTAAACACAAAATCAAAAACTGAAAAAATGAATCGTTATCTGTTTTTTTCATTTTGGATTTGGAGACAAATAATGAAGAAAATCATTGTTTTTTTTTTGGGGTTATTTTGAAAAACGAATGAAGGAATGACACACGGGTTTAGAAAGGTGACTCCTCTCACTAGGGCTGGGTATCATTAAGAAGTTACCGATACGATACATACCTCGATACACAGGCCATGATACGATACATATCTCAATACAGTGCACTTTTGATTTGATACGATATATTTCAAAACGATTCAGTACGATTCAACAAAAATAAATCACGGCTGTGACACTTAAAGTCTTTGTTAAACGACTTCTTGTGCAAAGTTTCTCTAAACAAGCAACAGAACTGTAAATAACTGCGTGAGATATCCCCAAAAAATACTCTTGGCGATATATCGATACAGCAGCCCACGGTATCGATACTGTATCATCACGTTAAGCGATATTTTGATATTTTTTACACACCCCTACCTCTCACAGTAAGAGTGAATTTTGCTGGATATGTGGTGTTTTTGACAATTAATAAAACGTAATTGAATATATGAAAGTTTAATGCCATATTGTGGAACATTCCAGGCAATGCAGTTAAATCGAGACAATATGATCCATTAAAAAAAGTTCAAATTAGCACATTTAAGTCTACAACCTATGATTAGTACAAATATTAATTGGTAAATGTGCTTTTTTTAGTAGTTGCAGTACCAACATTGACCAGCAGGGGATGTTAAACTGACCGAAGCGCCGTCCAGTTTCCCGTCTCTCCTCCACGTCTCGCTCCTCCACTCAAACACAGCACCTCTTCTTGTAATTTAATCTTTGGATGTTTCTCCTTCTACGGTACGAACGTTTGACCCCTTGAGCCCACGTCTGACCCCAGATGACCCCTGCATGTGCTGCCTTAGAGCCCGGACGGATTGTGCACGTTCCCTTTACACTTTTCACTGTGGCGTTTTGACTGAAGGTGACGACGAACACCTGAAAAAATATGGGCAATAATCTCACGAAATGGAGACGGACGGAAACACGGGAGGGACAATGCGCGGAGGTTGGAGGTAGTCAAAAAAAAAAAAAAAAAAAAAAAAGATGGATTTTTTTTTTTTCGTTTTTTCTTTCACAAAAGACATGAACACGGTACAAATGGACAAAACTGGAAGATGAAATTCGCCAAGGCACGAGAAGAGCCAGTTTGGAATTGAAATTTAGCAGTATAAGCTACACATCACATACAACAGTTGAAATAACGCTTAGGTTTGTGAGATAATTTTCGTCTAAAAGTCTAAAAACATAAACATAACACGCACTTCCTGATTACCGGACAATAAAACGCTTTCTAATTAAATACAGAAAGCACGCAACAGTCTTATTTCGACCTCAAGAGCCACTTAAACGATACATCTACTGGCAGGGATGTAACAATAACCGAAATGTCATGATATGAGTAATTTCCAGAGGAACAGTGAAGAAATGAATCGTTTTATCCCTTTCAGAGCGTCTAGAACAACCAAATACACAACAAAACCTGCCCATGTTTCTCCGATGCTGCTGAAGTCAATCACATAGTGTTCCCGGTGTCATGGCGGCGTAGGTACCGTTGCTATAGGGGTCACGTGACAGTACAAAGCCTCTACAGGCGCTTTAAGGCGATGTGTTGCATAGTGGTTAGTTTTTGCCCGAAGAAACAAGATCCAGGCTTCGTTTCTCCAGCTGAACAACATCATAACACACTGTAGATCAGAAAAATAGCATAATCTAAGCTCTTATAGAACAGAACACACTTATAGCTCCAAACTAGCTCTACATTTGCGACTGGTGAACCCGACGGACCACGTTTCATCCGTTCATTTCTGTGCACGTTTTAGACCAGCACTCGTGGACACATCTGGATCACTGCATCTGGATCAAACGGATTCGGACTTACGTAAGACTGAAGAAGAGGAGGAGGAGATTGTGTTTGCAGGATATCAGAGACTGAAGTGGGGTTTACAGGTTTTACTGGAAGGTGGATCGAAAAGAGGGAATTATTGGTTACTTACGGTGGGACAGACTGAAGCAGAATTGAACTCATATTTAATCTCCAGCTGCTTTTTACCTGTTTAAAAATGTGGTTTACGATGGTTATATAAAGATGGACAGAGCATAGATTTATTTGTAACTTCAGGTTGTCTCCATAGAAATGTTATTGCTTTGTCTAGAATGTTCCAAAGCATTGATTAAACCCACTGTACGTATCACAAAGGAAACAAGCAGGTTACAGCACTACGCTTCATTACAAGTCAGATCTGTGGAGAGTCGCCCCTATTCACAGAAGGAATTATTGTATTTTTGAGCAACAGAAACACCCGTAATGGACAAATGCTAAATGGAAACGTTTAAAGTCATACCATGGAACATTCCAGGTAGATTAATAACATTTTCATGGATTACCTTTAAAACTTAATCCCTGGAAGTGGAGACCTTGTCAGTTTAAAGTGTGGTCAAAGTATATTTTACGAGAAACAATTAGGGCTGAACGATTTTAAGAAAAAATTGAACTGAATTGGCAGATCTTGCGATTTTGATTTCATCCGCATTTTTATTTTTTATTTTTCCAAATCAAGTTTCAGTGCGCATGAACTTTTGGAAACATCACAGAAACTTACATCATACCATATTCCTGCACCGATGATTTGACGCTGGACCGTAAAGCCCAGTTTTACGGTCCAGCATCAAATCGTCTGCCTCACGATTCAGAGAGTCTTCGTTAACGTGAACCCGCCACTCATACCGTCTGCATCGACCGACGTGCACCTTCGAAATTTTATACCTACGAGTCAAAACGATGCAGACAGCAGGGGAAGCGACGCAGACAATAAGGGCTGTGATTGGTCCTCTCCACCACCGCTCTACGTACATTCCCCGTACTCCGCTTTCCTTTCTTTCAATATACAGCTTTGCGCGCACTTGTTTACATTTTACGGAAACGAAACTTAAAACCGCATGGCTAATTTGCATAAACTATAAGCGCTGATAAAAACAGCTCGCTCCTTGTGCGCTGATGCGGTTCAGCTTCTGTCGGACTAAAGGACACGACTCGGTGGAATATGAGTGTTTTTTTCTGTGACAGAGGGATGTTCTGCTGATGGTGAGTCTGTTCTGTGCTTCTATCGCGTTGGAGATGGTTCATGTTAAACTTTACTCGAACGCCACGTTTAAGTCCTCGCCTCCTAGACTTGCGGCAGGGAATTACTTCGCGGCGCACTGACCTCGAAGCAGATCCATAAATTGGGCTTTAGGAGCACTGCGAAAAAACGCAGCTTTGACGCTCCCTAAACCGTGTTGTCTGAGATCGCAATTTTCAGTTCAAACCGATAGATCGTTCAGCCTTAGTAACCGTTTGTAGGATGTTTAAAAACTTTATGAAATAGTGAAACAAACAAACAAGCACCCGTGTTATAAATCTGCACTGTCCATCTTTAAAGAACACATATTATACATTCTTAGAGCTTTTAAACGTTCTTTTGGTCACTTTGGGATTTCACGTGTTCTAACTTAAAATAGAAAAATATACATTATAACCCAACTTAGTCTATGTAACACTTGTACAATCTTCTAAATTTAGATTTTAGTATTTATTGCCTTAATTTAACCATTAAAGATGCACTATGTAGCTTTTTGGTTTCGGGGTCTGTCACCTGCTTGTTTCTATGGATATGCTATTCATATTTTGCCTGGAATGTTCCACAGTGTGACTTTAAACAGCTCTACTTTACATTTATTCAATTACAGGTGGATTTTACAGCTCAAAAATACTTAGAAAAACACATTTTGACTCTGAGCAGCATCGCCTCTCCACAGATCTGACCTGTAACTTAAAGTAGTCTGGTTTGGGGTCCATGAAATTAGAAAGGTTTAATGCCAAACTGTGAAACATTCCAGCCGCATTAATAGCATTTCCTCGGAGAAAAGCGTTTGACGGAGCCTCCAGCAGAAAACTTACGCAATGCGCCTTTAAAAATTTGAACCTTGTACGGAAGGATTTGAGAACAGACTTACGACTCCCATTTCCGGGCCGATCTTAAAAAGTCTCTAGGATATTCGCATGGTATTTATGAGTTTGTAGTGGATAAAGTAACGGAACCACTTCGCTTTTTTGACACTGTTTTTGTAAGATATTAATATATGCAAATCAGAAAAGGATAGAGAAATGGTGACGACGGGCTCAAACTAATATGCATTTCACGACGGCCGTGTTTCTGAAGAAATTAGTGACTCTACTACGCCCCCTTGTGTTAGGCTTGAGATAAAGCAGACGAGGACATACCCCACCTACGGCTCAAAGTA